ATATATATATATATATATATATATATATATATCATTATATATAGTATAAACAATGTTAGATTATATTTTTTAAGATTTATTTTGATCTCTTATATTTCAAAATATTTTATTTTATTTATTTATTTTTAAATTTTGATCAATTTAATTATTTTTATATAGTAATCATTTTTTAATTTTAAGACACTCCTTTAAATATTTTTGAGATAGTACAAACTAAATAATTTTTATATAAATAAATCTAATTACACAAATTTCATGTGTTAAATATGTCAAGGAAAATTTTAAAATTGTATGACAAAGTTGACAATGATGAGTATTTTTTCATGAACGAAATTAATATAAATTAAAAAAAATAATTAAAATAAATATTTAAAAAATAATAGAGTAAAATAAAATTTTAAAAAAAAATCAAAAGAGAAAAATATAATATAGGCATTAAACAAAGAGCCGGTAGCAGCGCCCATTGGTTCGTATTCTCTGTGATGACAAGTACTTTATAATACTATTCTATGGGAAAAGTCATTCGTGTCAGAAATTTTGTGTTTTCTTTTATACAATATTAGTATAAACAATTTGATTGTATCATGTTATTGATATGATATAATCAAAAGATATAATTAATTATGAGTGTAAAAAAATTTTATACTGAAAAAATATATAGGTGGTTAATTCTTTCTTTTTTTAACGCCAAACTTCGTTGCGAATGGATTTACATCTTCGACTGCACAAATTCTAACCTTTCAAAAGATTTATTTTTCTATCTATTTAATCCCCTTCAGGCTTCAGATTAGAATTACATTGCATATACAGTTACTATAAAACAATGGATTGTGTTTTACAATGTGCCCAATTCCCAAATTTACTTGTTTATGGCTCATTGTCGGTGTGAGTGTGAGACTCATACGCTTGTCTATGACAAAATAAACATTAATTTAAACATTTTCTCACTATTAGTGTCTCCTTTGTTACTCATGTCATGACATGTCTGAAACCTGAGACGCATGTTAGTGTCTCGTTTGGATGGTGGGGACTTTTAACATATGCCTTATTATGGGAAACCATTAGGGAAACCTTTGTCATCCGTTAGACATATCTATTCAAAAAACTAAAGTATATATTGAAAATAAAACACTAATTTATTGTATATATAATTAAAAAAAGAGGATGAATTAAGCTTGGGAAGCTATTACAAAACTTTTATCGAAGACGTGAAAGATACGATTCTAGAGTATTGTTTACTAGGTTAATTTGATAACTACCGAAGATAGTAAACACTCTAATACCTAATTTTTGCGACAATATGGCACGACATATAAGATATGCAAAATTCATAAATAAAGTAAATTACTCATATTAGAAAGAGGCCTAGAGAATGATGCATATGGGATTTATCCTGATTTGGTGACCTTAACACCAACCATTCTTGACCTTTATCGGTCCTAAGTAAAGTTGGAGGTTTTCTTCTACACTTAGTTTAATTTATAGAAATTATTAGGATTGTGCTAGTGGTGGAAGGTTAAGGTAATATGCACGAATCTTAAGTTCTAATTCTAATATTATTATTATAATTTTTATGAATAATAAATAAAGAAACAAATTTGAAACTTTTACCTAACATATAGGTCACTGTAAAAAAATTTGGACATTATTTATTAAGTTGGTATAAGAGTACAAAAAAATTCATATACAAATTTAATTCAAGATACAACCTCTATATGCTTCATCAAAAGAAATAGGACATTGTTAAAGGCTGAAAATAGGGATGTTAATGGGATGAATCGAGTACGAGTTTCATGATATTCGTTCTATTTCTGTATCCGTATCCAGCAGATATGAAATTTTCATCCTATCTCTATCCCCATCGGGTATTGGGTATACCGTACCCGTAAAAAATTAATTATTTTTTTTTGCAAAAAAATACATAATATTTTTAGCTTATTTTTCTATTATATTATAATTATAATTAGGTTATTTGTCTATTTCATATTTTAATCAAAAGACTTTTTAATAATTAAACAACTACAAATGTTTTGCATCATAATAAATAATCACACATTAAATATTAAAATTCTTTAAAATAATCAAATCAGGAATAGATATTAAACTGGGGATGAAGATGGTGGTGAGACGGGATGGATAAGTATATACCCATACCCGGTCAAATCGGGTATTTTTGTCAAAATCGGGACAAGTTTACGTATTATTCACGGATATATATTTATTTGTCATCCCTAACTGAAAGCCTCAATAATTTAAAAAAGTCCTCATTAGTAAACAAAAAATTACTATTAAAATACCATATTATAACTAAATTAAATTGTATGATTAAATTAGATTGATAATCTATGTTTTTAAGATGATAGCAAAATTTGCTTTAATGATTCTTATTCTTAGACCACTATTGCATTATCCTTAAATTTTTAATCTTACAAACTTCACATATCCATTTTATAAAATTGAATTAGATAGATTTATTATTCACAAATCAACGTTTTTTTTTTCTTGAAAAAGGAATGTTAACACCGTGATCATTCATTCACCAAAATACAAAATATGGTGGTTATTTTTTATTTATAAGATATAGATATTATTTATTAATTGTAATTCGGTTTAGCGAAAGCTGTTGGGGTGGGGGAAGAGATAGGTTGGCATTGTCAATAAGTATTAATTATTATTTTCACAATTCCCTTCCCTTCATTCATCTCATATGCTATAGTTCATTGCATAGAATATTGTTTGGAAAATGTTGCACGAAAGTATTCCAGGTCCTGGCCATCACTTAATACCAAGAATACAGAATAGATATGCACCAACAGATATATATAGTAAAATTATGCGAGAGAATTATAGGACAAGAGAATGTGTGTGGGCCCCACTTGAAAGATTACCCACGTCTCTTACGTATACCAGCGAGATCATATCATTCATGAACACCTTGTTATAGCCAACAAAGAGTGTTGTTGCTATATATATATATATATATGTTCTGAGTTTCATAGAATAAATGTGTTTAGTGTGTACTCCGTTGTTGCAGAAATGGAGAACGCAGAGAGTTCAAGCGGTGTTAGACTGGAGCGTGCCATTTCTCCGCGCGATCTAAGTAAGTTTCTCTCGCTTATCCACTCAACCAAAACTCTTACTAACATTTTCAACTTAATTAATCTCATCATTAACTAAATCATCATACTCAATAACTATTATCAACATGCACTACTTTTCATCTCATTCCATCAAAGTATTAAATAAAACCTTAAATTTATGGAATTTTGTATCTTTTAATAAATTTTTATTTAATAAAAAAGTGTTAAAAAGTATGTTGTTAAACTTATTTATAATATACAAGTGTACATATACAATATTTGTTACACTCTTAATTATAGGCCGAGTATTTGCAATATCAAAACTGAGACATATTGTATTATATTATATTATATATATATATATACTATTTAATCGAGACATTTGTATTTCTATTTATTTTTTATATAAAAAACTTTGCAAATAATTATGTAATATACAATTATATACTAAAACTTTTCATTTGCAACAAAGTGTAATATATAATAATTTAATAGAAATTTTATTTAATACT